CTGCTGTAGCTGAACCCAGGACAGTCAGAAAAGCAGCCTCTGCCCATGGTTCATTGCTCCTCCCTCTTCTCTTATCCAAGACTTCTCTGGGCCTGTTTCTATACTTAAGATTTTAGGTCAGCATTAGTAATGTTAAATTAAACTGGGTTCAAGCAATTCTGTTCTAAATGGTGTCTTGGAAAGAGAATCACCCTAAAACTTTTAAACCTTTTACATTTAAAAGAAAAGCGTTTTTTTCAATGGATGGGCTGTTTCTTCTCAGGAGTTTGGATACTCTGCAGACTATTGTAATAACATTTGTTTTTACAAGGGAGCACATGTTTGAGCACTGTCTCATGTAGCTGGGTAATTTGCAGTCTGTTAAGCCATTCTAAAATCCTTGCTTGACCCATACTTGACTTGGGCTTAAAGAAATCTTATTGTGCTAGTACAGCCCAATTAGCTGTGAGTAAGTAATAGCATTTTGCAAAACTGACTGTTTACTGTTGTTGTTATTGTCATATTTAGAGCTCTAGAATTTACAAGTAACAGAATTAGTGTGCAATATCTATTTTTATTTTTTTTCTCTGCAGAAGGAATCAACCTGCATTTTTGGCTCTAAATTCTTTTAGGAATATTTGTTGCTTAAGATTTACTTTTTGTCGTGTTCATCACAAGGTCTTTCTTCAAAGTACCCTATGCACCTGAAGGTGTTCTTCCTATGTGGCGTGTGGACTGACTATGATGATAGAGCAGCCTCTAGAATCGAATTCCCTCTGAATGAACTAATAAGCTGTGATTGTCAATTCAAACATTCTTCAAGAGCAGCAGCAGCTATTCAGACTTCTAATTAAAACAAAGCTGAAACATTCACTATTGTGCTTATATGTGACTAGAAATCTTAGTATGATGTACTACCAAACGAAACTGTATTTTTACTTGTTAATATGCAAACTTGCTAAGCAAAAGCTCTTATGGCAACAATTGATGAACCAAGCAGCCTCATGCTTCCAGGCTTAACAATAGAGCACAAACTGCTTTTGTTTTCTTTTGTACACAAGAAAATGTAATATTCTGTCTAGAACAAAAGAAAACTGGTAGTCAAATGAACTAGGTATTAATCCAGGCCTTGCTCTCATTGAAAACACCTATGCCTCAACCATCATCTCTGTAAAAGCGGTGAATATTTTCTGTAACAGTGTGAGTAATAAGCTATGCTATAGCTTTCTGTCTTCAATTCTTAATTGATCCAGCATGTAGTGAAATCTGAATTTCTTGTGTTTAATAGCTTGTATTGCAAAATATTTTGTACTAAACCCATGAGTTTTAGAGTCATCTTTAGATATAAAACCAAAATCAAATTGGTTCAAGAGATTTGAGCTTCCTGCATGTTTCAAGTTTCTGCAAATTCAAGTCTTGAATTTGAGTAGGTCACTTTTGGGACGATGATTTTCTGTGTAAGATGGTTGGAAAACCAAAAGGACCTTGTGTTCAAAAAACCTGAAGTTCTAAACCAGTTGCTGATCATAAACTGGCTGAAGAAATGGATACAAAATGGTCCACATGCCATTTTACTGATGGCACTCATTCATCTTGATGCTTCTTGGTTCAGTGAGATGTTTAGAGAGGTCAGGAGTTTTGAGAAGATGGTGGGTTATTCCACTGGTCCTTATGCTGCTGAAGTGTATTGGGTCTCACTTAAATCTGGACTATAAATTTTGGTTCTTTTTTTCAAATGTTAAAAATTCAAAATTTGCAGTCTGCTTATTGATGTATTTTTCATTTATGTTGTATTTAGCGATAAACTGTTCAAGCCTCTCTATATTATTGGCAGGATGAGTTTCCTTCTGGGAGAAATTAATTTAATATAGACTGAAATGAAGAGCTGCTTAATTAGAAGGCATTAGAAGGACACTTTGAGGTTGCAGTATGGTTGGGGCAGAAATTCTTCCCTCATCTTTTACATTTCCAATCTTCTCTCTTGGCACGGCTGAGCTGAAGTGTTTGTTCTTTTCCTGCCTTCTCTCAGGGGATGACAAGAACGAAGGTAGCATCAAATAAAAGTTGTCTTATCGTGTGTAACGCTGGTATGTTGAGAACAGTTATTTATTGCTATTCATTTCACTCTGAGTGGCTGCTATGGATTTATAAAATCTACCGATACACTTTAAAGTAGTTATGTGCCTTAGCTTTTATATATCAATAAACTTTCCACAGCTGCAGATGCTCAGAAGCACGTCTTGTGAAATCTTTGCATTTTATTAAAAAAAAAAAAGCCAGTAAAAAAAACCCAAAGAAACTTGTCGACCTCATAGCCAAGTTCTGCTCCAAATACTTCCAGCTGCAGCTAGAGGGATGAGTCATGCTGAAAGCTGAGGAGCTTTTCTAAAAGCCTTTCACTTGGTTCACATGATTTTTTTTCCTTCTTTTTTTTTAACTCTACATTCCTGTCTGTTTTTCTTTTCTTAAAAAAAACCCCAAAACGTGCAGGCGAGTCACCCAAGGAAAACCCGTACGAAGATGTGGAGCTGAAAGGCCGTCACGCGGGCCGAAAATCTCATCAGCTCTCCGAGAATTCCCTAGATTCTTTGCACAGGATGTGGACGCCGCAGGACAGGAAATACACATCACCTCCCCAGGTAACGCCGGTCTTTCTGGGCTTGAAGCTTATTTAAAACTTTAGTAAGAAAATCAATCTTGGCATAAGAGGAAGAATAGCTGTATCGAATGAGAAAGAGTATCTGGAAAAGGAGTGCAATCAAATGCATAAATCGTTGCTGGGAATGCTCTTGGCAGCTGTAGCTCAGCTTCTCAGCACTGCGCTGCTGAAGCTGATGGCTTTTTGTGCTGGGCTACAGCCTGATGAGTTTCAGCAGAATCCTTCCACCGGCTGGTTGTGAGTGAATCTGGCCCTAAGTTATCGGGATGGCTGCATCAGTAGGTGAATTGCCTCTGCACTTGCTGCTGGGCTTTTAGTTATAAGAAGCTGCTCAGCTTTAGGGAGGGAAAAGTCATCTGCTTAGTCTTGCCCGTATATTGTTATGTGTGGCCTGTTGTGACTTTGCTTATGGGAATTGCATAGCATGGCATGTTTTATTGTAAAATGGTGAAGGCCAAGTATGCCCCCCCACAATAAATGAATAATAAAATAATCAGAAAAACCTGAGTGTCTGCATTTAACGAGGCTGTATAAGTTGTGTTTACAGCATAAAATAAAAGACCTGGAACTCTGCAGACTTTCCATTTTGTGATGAATTTTCCAAAGCAGTCTGTTTTTTGTGAATGCTGTGAAATGCCAGGTTGCTTTGTTGTTTATGGGATCATTGTGTTCGTAAGGAAAAACATAAATTTCATCACATACTCAATTATGAGATTCAAAACACCTTTTGAAAGAACTTTGTTTTGCACTGAATCAAAAGAAACATTGCAAGTGAGCAAAAAGGTCACAATAACTTACAGTTTTATCTTGTAAAGAGACCTAGAACAAAACTGAATATATTTTCTTTCACTTATTTTGTGTGCATGTGTGCATGACAGTCCAAGAGACAAAAGAAATATCACCAGGGTTCTTAGTATGCACCTAGCACATCATTTGTAAGACAGGAGTGGTTTCAGCAAAGCTGCTAAAAAGGGAACAAGTGAAAATTAGTAATTGGGCAGAGTAAGGAGAAACAGAAACTAGCCATGAAGATAACCCTGTAGTAAGAGACATTCTATGCATAACAATTATTTTCAGCAGG